TGGCATCACAGGGGGAGCCCAAACAGGAAGCGTTTATTTACTGTGGCATCACAGGGGGAGCCCAAACAGGAAGTGTTTATTTACTGTGACATCACAGGGGGAGCCCAAACAGGAAGCGTTTATTTACTGTGGCATCACAGGGGGAGCCCAAACAGGAAGCGTTTATTTACTGTGACATCACAGGGGGAGCCCAAACAGGAAGTGTTTATTTACTGTGGCATCACAGGGGGAGCCCAAACAGGAAGCGTTTATTTACTGTGACATCACAGGGGGAGCCCAAACAGGAAGTGTTTATTTACTGTGACATCACAGGGGGAGCCCAAACAGGAAGCGTTTATTTACTGTGACATCACAGGGGGAGCCCAAACAGGAAGTGTTTATTTACTGTGACATCACAGGGGGAGCCCAAACAGGAAGTGTTTATTTACTGTGACATCACAGGGGGAGCCCAAACAGGAAGTGTTTATTTAGTGTGACATCACAGGGGGAGCCCAAACAGGAAGCGTTTATTTACTGTGACATCACAGGGGGAGCATAAACATCATGCGTGACCTTTGACCCACCCTCCTGTGAGTGTGCGCCGGGGGGCGCTGGGAGCTCAGGTGAGAGGCGCGTTGACGGCCCGCTAAGGAAGACGAGGACGAAGAACAGGAGGTGATTGGTCGGCTGGAGGGGGCGGGGTTAACAGGGTCTCTCTTTCTGAAGACACCTGCTGACCCCACACACACACACACACACACACACACACACACACACACACACACACACACACACACACACACACACACACACACACACACACACACACACACACACACACACACACACACACACACACACACACACACACACACACACACACACACACACACACACACACACACACACACACACACACACACACACACACACACACACACACGTTAATACAGACTGAACTTTTCTTCTCTTCACTGAGGACAGGTGTGTGTGTGAGGACAGGTGTGTGAGGACAGGTGTGTGAGGACAGGTGTGTGAGGACAGGTGTGTGTGTGAGGACAGGTGTGTGAGGACAGGTGTGTGAGGACAGGTGTGTGTGTGAGGACAGGTGTGTGAGGACAGGTGTGTGAGGACAGGTGTGTGTGTGAGGACAGGTGTGTGTGTGAGGACAGGTGTGTGAGGACAGGTGTGTGAGGACAGGTGTGTGAGGACAGGTGTGTGTGTGAGGACAGGTGTGTGAGGACAGGTGTGTGAGGACAGGTGTGTGTGTGAGGACAGGTGTGTGAGGACAGGTGTGTGAGGACAGGTGTGTGTGTGAGGACAGGTGTGTGAGGACAGGTGTGTGAGGACAGGTGTGTGTTTGTGGACGTACCTGAAGCTGGACCCTGCAGGTCAGAGCTGGTGGTGTACGCGTCTCTCCGAGTCCCCGACTCTGAGAGAACCCTGACTGGAGGAACAAGAACCACGAGTAAGAACCAAGTCATTAAAGGAGAGACACCGTAAAGTAGAAGACCCGGGGGGGGGGGGGGGCCGACCTAAAGTCTGCAGCCGCTCCCTCGCCATGATCAGGTTCGTGGTCATCTTGTTCTGCAGACGTCTGTCGCGCTCTCGTTTCTCTTCTGGAACAGAAACGAGGGAAAAACAACTTCAACGACCAGCGACAACCAAACATCAAGAGACCGTTAGCTTTAAACTCACCGCTTCCTGTGACCTGCACGGCGAGGCCTTTCTCCAGCTCGCTGATCCCTTGTTGGTACCAGCCCACCGCCAGCTGCTTGTCACCTGAGAACACGTCGGCCAATGAAAACCAACATCTTCTTTAAAAAGATCAATCATTTTTACACTTTCTTAGAGACAGATGTTGGTAAGTTTTAAAAACTAGCATGATTTTGAAAGTGGCATTCCCTCAGTGCTCCGTCTGCATATATATAAAAAAACAATGAGAAAACAAAACATTTATTATTATTTATTTAAGCTTTCTGTGAATGAGTTCATACACCTAAGTGACAGAGTTTGTCCACCAGAGGGCGCTGCTGGACTCTAAAATAAGACATGTATCTGGGTCACAGAACAGAACCCATGTGAGGGTCTGCGTGAGTCTGGTTTATGTAAGACTCCTTAAATCTCCTCAGGAGGACTACAGAGTCAGATATGTTAACTTGATGTTTTAATCTCACAGACTTCATGTTTTAATTCACACGATGATGCATTAAACACCTTTTTATTATTCTGTTTGATCCTCTTACACAGACAGGACTGAACTACTCCTAATGAGAGGATTTAAATGTTTAACATGAAGAAGAAAGACTGAAGGATAGCTCCGTCTGTCAGCACCATAGACTGTAAAAAGAATAAATAATCAGCACGGTGAGATGTCTTTCACCTCTTTAATAAAGGGTCCTGATCTGAGTCAACATCACCACACTCAGGTGGTATTCTTAAGACACAGGCTCACTGTGCACACTGATCAGTAATGAGACTCAGACAGCCTGCAGGGATGCAGCACACTGACTCTATGATCTGTGAAAGAAACTGTGTGAAACTTTGTGCTCTCACGCCGGACTCCATACAAAAATCACTCATTTTAATGTGTGCTGAAAACAAACAGGAGCTTGTTCTAACAAACACTGACTGTGTTGACACAGAGACCTGTCATGGTCAGGTCTTTAACTCGGCATGCATCACATGAACCAAGCAGCGTGTTCCGGTGTGTGTATGGAGAAAGTGTGATCACTTTCACCGATAAACACATCGTTAAAATCACTGATTTTCAGATGGAGGTTTTGTGTGAGATACCTCGCTCGTCCTCATCGATCCTCAGCGCCGCAGAGATGAACTCGAAGGCCCGCCCGTGGTGACTCCTGACCCGGTCTCCTCGCTCCAGGCTCCCGCTGCTGTCACACTGCTCCTCGGCTCCGGGTTCGGCTCTGACGGCGGCCGTGGAGCGGGTCCACAACCGGCAGAGGAGCGCCCGGAGGAGGGACAGCACGGCCAGCAGCGGGTAGAACACCGACACCAGCACGCCCAGTTTACCGGGACCGGTCCCGTCACTGGCGGGCTGTGTGTCCGGGAGAGCCGCGGAGCTCATCCACGGCCATGTCCCAGCACACCGGGCCGGCTCAGCTCAGTCCAGAGACCCGGTTCGGATTAACGCGCTGCTGCTTACACACTTCTTCACGTTACCAGGCGGGTTAGACACAAAGTGTAGAGCGCCACCTGCTGGAATAAAGTGGAACTACTGTCTTTATTCATTTTTAATATCCGATTTTTGTGTTTAACTTTAATTTAACGTGACGTTATTTTATTTTTGACGTGGTACTAATGATTTTTTTAAATTAATATTTATCTTTCTTATATTTTTATTTTATTAAAACATGTTTCAGTATTATTTTTTTTCAATTAATTATTTTTAAATAATTATTTAATCATGTTATTAAAATTAATCTAGTAATTTCTTTTATTATTCAACAAATACATTCATGGACATCAGATGACTCTCGCTCGAGGTATCGCGTGGTTTTTTCGTGACGTCGTAGCACCACGTGACGCGCCAGCACCACGTGACGCGCCGATCAGCTGACTGCCGGGTTCCGGGTTGTCGGTCGGTGTTTACTTTGAAATCAGCTTCTTCTTCTTCTTCGATCTCCGCGGCTGAATCAGGTAAAGTCTTTCTATCAGATTATTAAAAGTCAAACCAGCAGCTTCAATCATGAATGTTTATTATTCGATCTGCGGTCGATTAAACGTCCTGACCGGAAGTCAACAAAGTGACCGTGACTTTAAAACAAACACATCCAGCTGCAGAGAGATGACATGTTAAAGTCAGGCTTTAAACTGTCTGTGGCTGTGACTGCAGGGGCGGGGCTAGAGGTCTGGGGGGGCCCAGGGGGGGAGGGGGGCCCAGCTGGGGGGGGGGTTCGCCTTCCTGCTTTATTTGATCATTAATATCGTAGAAAAATGAGACTACTGTGGCTTAGGCTTCTTACACTATGAAATACCAACAGGTATCCAGCCTCTAAAGTCATTCAAGCTGCCATCTTTGATATTCTGGAGCTGAAAGCGACCGTGTTTTGTAAACGGAGGTTCAGGTGTCGAACTAGCGGTCACTTTTAACGAGGTAAATTTGAAGAACTAAAATAAACTCTAAATGCAGAGTCGACTCCTCAGAGTGATTTAGGAAAACCAAATGCTTCACAAGATATTTTTCTGGTTACCATGGTAGCAACTTGTCAGTTACAGGTAGCCCCGCCCTGACTCCTCCCCCTCAGTCACCCATCATTCACTAAATGAACATCATGCTTGAACCTGGAGCTTCAGAGACCATAAATCAGCTGATCGTTGGAACATTTGATCCTCGTCTTCTTTAGAATCAGAAGCGAGGCGTCGCCCCCTGCTGGTCATCAGAAAGAATGCAGGTTTCTCTCTAACAGCTTGTGTGCTTTGTGCAGCAGCCATGAACGCCTCCGACACCGACGAGGACTCGTATAACGAGAGGACGGCGTTGGTCCCGTCTGAGAATCCTGAGGTGCAGTCCTACAGCCCTGATGCTGACCACACCCCCCCTGACAGCACGCCATCCAAAAAGGTAAAGGTCAAAGTGGCCATATTGAATCTTTCAGTCTCGACTGATGATGGTGTAAAACGTTGCGTAACGCCGCTCTCTGCTTGTCCAGCCTCAGGTGACCAGGAGGGCGGGTCCGGCTGCAGCAGACGGCGTTGGTGGTGGCGGCGGTGGCAGCTCGGATCAGGAGGCAGATGCTGAGGATGAGGAGCTGACTCTGAAGTATGGAGCCAAACATGTCATCATGCTGTTCATCCCCGTCACGCTCTGCATGGTCGTGGTCGTCGCCACCATCAAGTCTGTCAGCTTCTACAGCGAGAAGACCGACCAGCGACTGTAAGTCCCCACGCCGCACGCCTCATGTATGACTCCTCCTCCGGGAACAGATAACCATCATATTTGTCCCCTCTAGGATCTACACGCCGTTCTCGGAGAACACGTCGTCTGTGGGCCGCCGGCTCCTCAACTCGGTCCTGAACACCATCATCATGATCAGCGTCATCGTGGTCATGACCATCCTGCTGGTCGTTCTCTACAAGTACCGCTGCTACAGGGTCAGAACCACTTCCTGTTTCTGGAAACAAACGAAGTCAAAGAATCAAAGAATTTAAAAATGATTCTCAAAGTGAGGATTGTGTTAGCGTTGGAGGCTAACGTTAGCTTATTCCATGCTAGTTTACCATCCGTGCCCTCTGTTGGTTTTTGTAATAACTTCGACCTCCACTAGGGGCAAAGTGGTCCAACTGTGGAAACATTAATTTACCTCTTATAGTGTTCATGTCTTTATATGTGATGTTTTGATCCAGCAGATGTCGCCCTTGAGCACCAGCATGAAACCAAAACAACTCACGCTGCATTGTTGTGTTAGCATGCTAATGCTAGTGATCTTTATTATGCTGGTATCTTCACACTGCATGTAAATGTACCTGAAATGAGCGTGATCTAGAAACACAGTTAAGCAGTGAGTACAGTATGTTATTCTTCTTTTCTCTAGTCCCTCAATTAAACAACTTTTATACACGAGGGGAGGAGTCAGCCGGCCGTCCTGGCGATGTAAACAAAGTGAAGATAGGACTCTGAAAACTCTGAAAACATCACAGACAGTGGGACTCGGGTGTTACACCCATTGTAGACAGTCATGACTCACACAGTTATTTTCAGAGGAGATACTTGATTTATATTTAAGTGTGAAAAATCACATATGAAGCCTTTAAAGGGAAATCAAAGAGGACCCATAACTGAGCCCTGAGGTACTCCAGTAGTCAAAGGTAGCAGGTGGACGGTGATAAGAGGGTCAGATCAGATCGACAGGTGATGTCTGATCAGGTGTTTGTGCTCTTCAGTTCATCCAGGGCTGGCTCATCCTGTCCTCCCTCATGCTGCTCTTCTGGTTCAGCTTCATGTACCTGGGGTGAGTCCTGCTCCGTCCTTCTCTTTATTTAAACCCCGCCCCCACAGACAAAAAGAGTTTCTCTCTTTCTGTTTGTCAGCGAGGTGTTTAAGACGTACAACCTGGCGGTGGATTACCCAACCGTGGGGGTGATCATCTGGAACTTCGGGGCTGTGGGGATGATCTGTATCCACTGGAAGGGCCCGCTCCAGCTGCAGCAGGCCTACCTCATCCTCATCAGTGCCCTCATGGCCCTCGTCTTCATCAAGTACCTGCCCGAGTGGTCAGCCTGGGTCATCCTGGGCGCCATCTCCGTCTACGGTGAGTGTGTGATAACAGACACAGCGTGAACAACACTTTCAGGACCGACCAATCAGATAGCAGTACCAGTCTGTGTTTGTTTGTGTGGCTGCAGACCTGGTGGCCGTCCTCTCTCCTAAAGGTCCTCTCAGGATGTTGGTGGAGACGGCTCAGGAGCGGAACGAGCCCATCTTCCCCGCCCTCATCTACTCCTGTGAGTCCATTCACCTTTTAAACCTGCAGGGGGCGCTGTGTTCTGACCGGTCAGCTCATTTATTCTCCTGGAGAGTTTGTGCTCTTAGTCAGGAAGTTAGTCAATAATTGTCCAATCAGAATCACAGAGACCAGAAAGAGGAGGGGTTAGGGCGGGGCTGCCTATGACGTGTGTGTGTGTGTGTGTGTGTGTGTGTGTGTGTGTGTGTGTGTGTGTGTGTGTGTGTGTGTGTGTGTGTGTGTGTGTGTGTGTGTGTGTGTGTGTGTGTGTGCGCAGCGGCCATGATGTGGACGGTGGGGATGGCGAGCCCGATGGATGCCAGCGCTCCGGACAGGAAACGGGTCAGAGAAGATTTTATTTTGTTTGTTTCAGTTCAGAATGATTTAAAACTAAACTTCATTGTGTTGATGCTTTCATCATGATGCCATTTTGTTTTCAGACGAGGAGGCGGATCAGAGGAGCCAGGGGGCGGAGCCTGAGATACGACCGTCCCGCTCGTTTCCAGAGGACGACCTGGAGGAGGACAGTGAGTTCAGATCAGCTGACTGAGACGAATTTAACTCTAGAAACACAAGGTAACGTGTGTGTGTGTGTGTGTGTGTGTGTGTGTGTGTGTGTGTGTGTGTGTGTGTGGTGTGTGTGTGTGTGTGTGTGTGTGTGTGTGTGTGTGTGTGTGTGTGTGTGTGTGTGTGTGTGTGTGTGTGTGTGTGTGTGTGTGTGTGTGTGTGTGTGTGTAGGAGGGGTGAAGCTCGGTCTCGGGGATTTCATCTTCTACAGCGTCCTGGTTGGAAAAGCTGCAGCGACAGGTGGAGACTGGAACACGACGCTCGCCTGCTTCGTCGCCATTCTCATTGTAAGTTTTCACAAAATTTTTTACACTTTACTTGTGCTCACCTGTATCTCACCTGTATCTCACCTGTGTTCACCTATATCTCACCTGTGTTCACCTATATCTCACCTGTGTTCACCTGTATCTCACCTGTTATCTCACCTGTATTCACCTATATCTCACCTGTGTTCACCTATATCTCACCTAAATCTCACCTGTGTTCACCTGTATCTCACCTGTGTTCACCTATATCTCACCTGAATCTCACCTGTGTTTACCTATATCTCACCTGTATCTCACCTGTTATCTCTCCTGTTATCTCACCTGTATTCACCTATATCTCACCTGTATCTCACCTGTTATCTCTCCTGTTATCTCACCTGTATTCACCTATATCTCACCTGTGTTCACCTATATCTCACCTGTATCTCACCTGTATCTCACCTGTGTTCACCTATATCTCACCTGTATTTCACCTGTATTTACCTATATCTCACCTGTGTTCACCTATATCGCTCCTATATCTCATCTGTGTTCACCTATATTTCACCTGTATCTCACCTGTATCTCACCTGTGTTCACCTGTATCTCACCTGTATCTCACCTGTGTTCACCTGTATCTCACCTGTGTTCACCTATATCTCACCTGTATCTCACCTGTTATCTCTCCTGTTATCTCACCTGTATCTCACCTGTATCTCACCTGTGTTCACCTGTATCTCACCTGTGTTCACCTATATCGCTCCTATATCTCACCTGTGTTCACCTATATCTCACCTGTGTTCACCTATATCGCTCCTATATCTCATCTGTGTTCACCTATATTTCACCTGTATCTCACCTGTATCTCACCTGTGTTCACCTGTATCTCACCTGTATCTCACCTGTGTTCACCTGTATCTCACCTGTATTCACCTATATCTCACCTGTGTTCACCTATATCTTACCTGTATCTCACCTGTGTTCACCTGTATCTCACCTATATCTCACCTGTGTTCACCTATTTCTCACCTGTATCTCACCTGTATCTCACCTGTGTTCACCTATATCTCACCTGTGTTCACCTGTATCTCACCTGTATCTCATCTGTGTTCACCTACAGTTGCAGGAAAAAGTATGTGAACCATTTTGAATTTCTTAGTTTTCTGATTAAATTGGTCATAAAATGTGTTCTGATCTTCATCTAAGTCTCAACAATAGACAAACACAGTCTGCTTAAACTAACACCACACAAACAATTCTATGTTTTCATGATTTGTTGAACACAACATGTAAACATTCACAGTGCAGGGTGGAAAAAGTATGAACCCCTAGGCTAATGATTTCTCCAAGAGCTAATTGGAGTCAGGAGTCAGCCAACCTGGAGTCCAATCAATGAGACGAGATTGGAGGTGTTGGTTAAAGCTGCCCTGCCCTATAAAAAACACACTCCAGTTTTGAGTTTGCTACTCTGAAGAAGCATTGGCTGATGTGAACCATGCCTCGCACAAAAGAGCTCTCAGAAGACCAACGATTAAGAATTGTTGACTTGCATGAAGCTGGAAAGGGTTACAAAAGACTCTCTAAAAGCCTCGATGTTCATCAGTCCATGGTAAGACAAATTGTCTATAAGTTCAGCACTGTTGCTACTCTCCCTAGCAGTGGCCGTCCTGTAAAGATGACTGCAAGAGCACATAAAGCTCAATGAGGTGAAGAAGAATCCTAGAGTGTCAGCTAAAGACTTACACAAATCTCTGGCACATGCTAACATCTCTGTTGACGAATCTACGATACGTAAAACACTAAACAAGAATGGAGTTCATGGGAGGACACCACGGAGAAAACCACTGCTGTCTCAAAAAAACATTGCTGCATGTTTGAAGTTTGCAGAAGAGCACCTGGCTGTTCCACAGCACTACTGGCAAAACTTCCTGTGGACAGATGAAACCAAAGTTGAGTTGTTTGGAAGGAACACACAACACTATGTGTGGAGAGAAAAAGGCACAGCACACCAACATCAAAACCTCATCCCAACTGTGACGTATGGTGGAGGGGGCATCGTGGGGGCTGCTTTGCTGCATCAGGGCCTGGACAGATTGCTATCATCGACGGAAAAATGAATTCCAAAGTTTATCAAGACATTTTGCAGGAAAACTTAAGACCATCTGTCCACCAACTGAAGCTCAACAGAAGATGAATGATGCAACAGGACAACGACCCAAAGCACAGAAGTAAATCAACAACAGAAGAAAATACGCCTTCTGGAGTGGCCCAGTCAGAGTCCTGACCTCAACCTGATAGAGATGCTGTGGCATGACCTCAAGAGAGCGATTCACACCAGACATCCCGAGAATATTGCTGAACTGAAACAGTTTTGTAAAGAGGAATGGTCCAACATTCCTCCTGACCGTTGTGCAGGTCTGATCTGCAACTACAGGAAACGTTTGGTTGAGGTTATTGCTGCCAAAGGAGGGTCAACCAGTTATTAAATCCAAGGGTTCACATACGTTTTCCACCCTGCACTGTGAATGTTTACATGTTGTGTTCAACAAATCATGAAAACATAGAATTGTTTGTGTGGTATTAGTTTAAGCAGACTGTGTTTGTCTATTGTTGAGACTTAGATGAAGACCAGAACACATTTTATGACCAATTTAATCAGAAAACTAAGAAATTCAAAAGGGTTCAAATACTTTTTCCTGCAACTGTATATCTCACCTTTGCTCACCTGTCTCAGGGCCTGTGTCTGACTCTGCTGCTGTTGGCGATCTTTAAGCGAGCGTTACCGGCGTTGCCGATCTCCATCGCCTTCGGCCTCGTCTTCTACTTCTCCACGGACTTCCTGGTTCAGCCGTTCATGGACAACCTGGCCGCTCACCAGTTCTATATCTGACAGAAGCCCCGCCTCCTAACCTTCCATGCACAAAGACTGTCCCTGTTCCTGTGCAGGTGATCCACCTGTCCGTTTGAAGAACACGATGCATTAATCAAAACACAGGAAGTGATGTAATGCAGACGCAGGAAGCTCAGGTGTGTTTCTGATCACCTGCTAAACAAACATTTGAAGGAAAGTTCCACCTCAAACCTTGTACCTCCTCACACCTGTAGAGTCTCTGTAACGCTTCTGACGGGACGATTCAACTCTCGCTGTGATGTTTGTTCGTCAAACACCACGGCTGCTTCTGATTGGCCGACGCTCCTGTCAGTCAAAACACGCCCAAACATTCCTGTGTTTTTTTTCTGGATAAATTTACATGAATTCGTTTTCTCTCTTCCTGAGTTTTTTTTAGCTTTCTGACATGGCTCGTCCTGATTGGTCCACACAGACTGAGAACACGCCCCCACATTAACCTCCCCGTCACACACGTCTGATTTAAAAACTACCGCTAACGAGCCGTCAGGTAGCTCAGTGTCTCCATGGCAATGAGTACAGCAGCTTCACTCTGGTTGCTTTCATGAAACACTCAAATATAAATCTTACCTTCAGGTCGAGTTCACTTTGAACCAAACTTTATTTAAACACGTTCAGAAAAACGTTTGAAAAAGTGAGCGAACAGGAAGCTCATTAAAATAAACTTTTTCAAACACGAGTCTGCGTACGGACCATGACGGTTAAAATAGGACTAAAAACCTCTGAGGTTTCAAAAACTCGTTAAGTTTATCGTAAACGTACGACTTTTTCACCTAAAAAAAAAAACAAAACTACGAGATAAATTTCTTCTACATTAACGACTCATCATTTCGTACTTACAAGGTTTTTGTCTCGTATAATTACTATAATCTCAAAAGAGTAAAATATCTCGTAACGTACGACTTATCATCGGAAAGATGTCGGGTTAAATTCCTCGTGAAATAACGACTTTTGAATCTCATAAATTCTGATTTGAGTTTTAAGCACATTAACGACTTTATAAACTCAAACTGGGAGAATTATTTGTTGAAAATTACGAAGTTTTAATAAAAAATATTTTTTATTAAATTTATGACTTTATAGTCAAATATTCTGCGTTAATTTTTTTTAAAAGCATAAATTTTTTTTTAATTAAAAGCATTAGCATTAAGCTAGTTTAGCTCCAAAAACGTACCTGAGTATCTGACTTTTCTACTAAGAGAGCAGCGATCATAGCGGAGCGCCTCCTGGTGGCCGTGAACAACTTCAGTTACTTTCAGGTTTAAGGTGGAATTTTCCCAGAATTCATTCAGTTCCAGGTTTTTAATATTATAACAAAGAACGAATCTCTCTGCTGTAAAGTTTAAATTAGTCAGACTAGACGGAGTTTAAAGAAACTTGATGTGCTCGGTGAAAAAGAGATTTAGTTAGAACTTCATTAATCCAGCAGGAAACAACGATTCATCAATTGTTTCCTTTTAGGATAGAAACATATTTTATTATCTATTAATCTGAGTTATCCACATCTCTGTTTCTGGTTTTGATGTTTTTCTTTTGTAAATATTATAATAAATGAAATATCTTTTCAAACTTTCAACCTTCTCTTTGAATCCATCTTTTCTATGTTGACTCCGCGAGGCAGATATGAACACGTTTTCTAAAGGAGAAATATGTAACTCTGACACCTGGTGTTTAAAACGGGTACTGCACAAGCAACAACCTCTGGGGTTTAAAAATGAAGCAGATGCAGAAGTGTTAAATCCTGCAGTTCCTGGAGTGTCCACTAGAGGCTGGCTGCAGAAGCACAGGAAGTCACATACACACCCATTCTAAAAAGCCTGTTTTTACAGCAGAGATGAACATGTTTAAAGCCTGGTTCAAAAAACCAAATAGGTGTGATTAGCTCATGTCTCGATGGACACACACTGTACGGGGGGGGGGTGAATGTTTTGATGACTCATCAGTTTTTTGTTTTTTTTAAGATTTATTTTGGGCTTTTCGTGCCTTTAATGCAGAGAGAGGACAGTGGATAGAGTTGGAAACCAGGGAGAGAGAGCGGGGAATGACATGCGGAAGGGGGCCATGGGTGGAAGCGAGCCTGGGCCTGCCGCTCAAGATGAGAGTCTCAACACTTGGGACGCGCGCCCTAACGATTGCGCCACCAGCGCGCCCCGACTCATCAGTTTTGATTGAAATCCTCTGTAAAGATTCAATAAATGTTCCCATTATTAGATCATGCTTTCAATGTTTGTTTTTTTGAGTACTTCTGCTTCCTCTCACAGTCCATAGACATGCTCGTTAGGTTAACTGCTGACTCTAAATCACCTGTAGGTGTGAATGTGAGTGTGGCTGGTTGTCAGCCCTGTGATTGGCTGGTGAACAGTCCAGGGTGTAACCCCGCCTCTCACCCAGTAACTCCTGACTGACCAGTCTGTGTGTTTCTCTGTCTCTCTTTAATCGTCTTCACATGGTAATGTTTGAGATATGAAGACAAACTCATAGATAACATTCACAGCATCCCTGCCTCTGACCTGTTTCAAGCTTCAACTTGTTCGAATGGTTTTTGTGTCCAAGCAGGAAAAGGGAAAATTAAATGAAGTTTTCACACACGGCCTCTCAAACAACATCACCCGACCTTTATTCTCCCTTCGATCAGAAAAATGTACAAGTCATCAGTTTGTCTTGAATCAGGACGATGTCGTCTTAGAGTTTTAATACAAACATGAAACATGAATCTGCAGAGAGACAGACCACAGCTTCAGAGTAAACTAAACATTCAGGAACATGACACCAGATAACTCGTTGTATACATAGACAGAAAACATACAGAAACCAGGTGTTTGGAGAGGCACAGGAAGCGATTCCTTCATCGTCGACTCTCTCTCCCGTCCTCACAGGATGAACGGGATGAGAGCTTTCCTGGAGGGGGGGTAGTCCTCGAACCTCTGCAGGTAATCTCTGAAAGACAGAAAGAAAGAAGGTCGGAGAGCGTGAAAACTCAAAACAAACAAACAAACAGGACATAAAAACAAAATGGTCTGAATCAGAGATTATTAATCAGCTGAAGCCTCTGACCTCTGTTAGTACTCATCCTGGTCTCCCTGTACCTGACCCCTGAAGTCCAGACTTCATACTCAGACCAAAGGGGTTCAAACTTAACTGCTGGCTTTGTTTACAACTAGATTAGAAAACTACCTGCTGGGCTCAAGACCAATCAGATCGTCTAGCCGGGGTTCATGTGTCCAATCAGAGACAGAGCTACCTGTAGAGCTCCTGACCAATCAATCAGAGACAGAGCTACCTGTAGAGCTGCTGACCAATCAGAGACAGAGCTCCCTGTAGAGCTGCTGACCAATCAATCAGAGACAGAGCTCCCTGTAGAGCTGCTGACCAATCAGAGACAGAGCTACCTGTAGAGCTGCTGACCAATCAATCAGAGACAGAGCTCCCTGTAGAGCTGCTGTCCAATCAGAGACAGAGCTACCTGTAGAGCTGCTGTCCAATCAGAGACAGAGCTCCCTGTAGAGCTGCTGACCAATCAATCAGAGACAGAGCTCCCTGTAGAGCTGCTGACCAATCAATCAGAGACAGAGCTACCTGTAGAGCTGCTGACCAATCAATCAGAGACAGAGCTCCCTGTAGAGCTGCTGTCCAATCAGAGACAGAGCTACCTGTAGAGCTGCTGACCAATCAATCAGAGACAGAGCTACCTGTAGAGCTGCTGACCAATCAATCAGAGACAGAGCTACCTGTAGAGCTGCTGACTAATCAGAGACAGAGCTACCTGTAGAGCTGCTGACCAATCAATCAGAGACAGAGCTACCTGTAGAGCTGCTGACCAATCAGAGACAGAGCTACCTTTAGAGCTGCTGACCAATCAATCAGAGACAGAGCTACCTGTAGAGCTGCTGACCAATCAGAGACAGAGCTACCTTTAGAGCTGCTGACCAATCAATCAGAGACAGAGCTACCTTTAGAGCTGCTGACCAATCAATCAGAGACAGAGCTACCTGTAGAGCTGCTGACCAATCAATCAGAGACAGAGCTACCTGTAGAGCTGGAAAACAATCAGAGACAGAGCTACCTGTAGAGCTGCTGACCAATCAGAGACAGAGCTACCTGTAGAGCTGCTGACCAATCAATCAGAGACAGAGCTACCTGTAGAGCTGGAGAACAATCAGAGACAGAGCTACCTGTAGAGCTGCTGACCAATCAGAGACAGAGCTACCTGTAGAGCTGCTGACCAATCAATCAGAGACAGAGCTACCTGTAGAGCTGCTGACCAATCAATCAGAGACAGAGCTACCTGTAGAGCTGCTGACCAATCAATCAGAGACAGAGCTACCTGTAGAGCTGGAGAACAATCAATCAGAGACAGAGCTACCTGTAGAGCTGCTGACCAATCAGAGACAGAGCTACCTGTAGAGCTGCTGACCAATCAATCAGAGACAGAGCTACCTGTAGAGCTGGAGAACAATCAGAGACAGAGCTACCTGTAGAGCTGCTGACCAATCAATCAGAGACAGAGCTACCTGTAGAGCTGGAGAACAATCAGAGACAGAGCTACCTTTAGAGCTGCTGACCAATCAATCAGAGACAGAGCTACCTGTAGAGCTGCTGACCAATCAATCAGAGACAGAGCTACCTGTAGAGCTGCTGACCAATCAATCAGAGACAGAGCTACCTGTAGAGCTGGAGAACAATCAATCAGAGACAGAGCTACCTGTAGAGCTGCTGACCAATCAGAGACAGAGCTACCTGTAGAGCTGCTGACCAATCAATCAGAGACAGAGCTACCTGTAGAGCTGGAGAACAATCAGAGACAGAGCTACCTGTAGAGCTGCTGACCAATCAATCAGAGACAGAGCTACCTGTAGAGCTGGAGAACAATCAGAGACAGAGCTACCTGTAGAGCTGCTGACCAATCAGAGACAGAGCTACCTGTAGAGCTGCTGACCAATCAATCAGAGACAGAGCTACCTGTAGAGCTGGAGAACAATCAGAGACAGAGCTACCTGTAGAGCTGCTGACCAATCAGAGACAGAGCTACCTGTAGAGCTGCTGACCAATCAATCAGAGACAGAGCTACCTGTAGAGCTGCTGACCAATCAATCAGAGACAGAGCTACCTGTAGAGCTGGAGAACAATCAGAGACAGAGCTACCTGTAGAGCTGCTGACCAATCAGAGACAGAGCTACCTGTAGAGCTGGAGAACAATTAGAGACAGAGCTACCTGTAGAGCTGGTAGTTGCTGCATTCAGGGGGTGTCGGAAACATCGGGAAAACAAGCTTCTGAGTTGTAAAATCGGAAGAGTAGAGTCGGAACAAAACGACTTCCCGACCTGACGTCAGAATTGTCGTCACATGGGGGAAAATATGTTACACTGGGATCACCGAGCAGCACCTGAATGCATCATCTCTACCTGTGGTAGTGACAGGCTCTGGGTCCAATGGAGCAGGCGGTGAACAGAGCGAAGGCGAATGACGGTAAACTCCACGCCGCCAAGGCGAAGCCGAACCACTCCACGATCTCTCCGAAGTAATTAGCTCCGGACACGAAGTGAAACATTCCTCCTGAGGAGACACAACGAGCAGGTGTTACGAGACAGCTGATGTCCAATCACAGCAGGGCATGATGTGTGTATGATGATGTCACCATGAGGGGTCCTGTAGGCGGTCTCTCCCGGTCTCCTGAGGCTCCGCAGGATGTGGTCACTGTGGATGTTGATGACCATCCCGACCCCGAACAAAACCAGACCTTCATCACACACACACACACACACACACACACACACACACACACACACACACACACACACACACACACACACACACACACACACACACACACACACACACACACACACACACACACACACACACACAGGTGATCAGGTGATGATGTGATCAGGTGATGATGTGATCAGGTGATCAGGTGATGATGTGATCAGGTGATCATGACTCACCTGCAGCAATGCGAGCGTGTGTGAGCCAGGTGTGCTCAAAGCGTGCACAGTGCAGCAGGTGGTGTCCCTGCAGGAAGCCGTTGAGCGAGCAGAAGACGGCGGCGTACAGGACGAAGGACAGCGGGACGGGTCGCCCTCTGCTCAGGAAGCTGTAGATTAAACTCCTGAAGGAAACACACGCAGGTCACTTCCTGTTTATCATGCCGCTAGGCCATCTGTCCCCATACAGGTCGTTTTATAAAAGAACTGCTGTGTGGCCCCTCCCCCTCTGACCCTGCTGTGTGGCCCCTCCCCCTCTGACCCTGCTGTGTGGCCCCTCCCCCTCTGAACCTGCTGTGTGGCCCCTCCCCCTCTGAACCTGCTGTGTGGCCCCTCCCCCTCTGACCCTGCTGTGTGGCCCCTCCCCTCTGAACCTGCTGTGTGGCCCCTCCCCCTCTGAACCTGCTGTGTGGCCCCTCCCCCTCTGAACCTGCTGTGTGGCCCCTCCCCCTCTGACCCTGCTGTGTGGCCCCTCCCCCTCTGACCCTGCTGTGTGGCCCCTCCCCCTCTGAACCTGCTGTGTGGCCCCTCCCCCTCTGAACCTGCTGTGTAGCCCCTCCCCCTCTGAACCTGCAGCGACCTCACAGCAGACGTCATGTGAGAAAGTCAGAGTGAGCTGATGTGAGAACACAGCAGTGGGAGGGGCCAGTGGGAGGGGTGGTGGGAGGGGCCAGTGGGAGGGGCCAGTGGGAGGGGTGGTGGGAGGGGCCAGTGGGAGGGGTGGTGACCTTTATTCCCTGTGATCGCTGCACGACCACAGACTGTCTGCACGCCACCTCTACCATCTCCGTGCTCTAATCAACCTGCTGCTGCATGTTTCCTGTTCTCCACGATGTTCTTCTTTACTTCACACTTTGTGTCACATTTATTTCAAAAATAGATTTTTGGTCTCGTCTCAGTGAGGGGGGTAAAACACTACGCCCCCCCCCCCCCCCTTCAAAACTCATGACACTGTTTACACTTCTTGTACTGATCTGTTACTCTGAGGACACTGTGAGTTGCATGTGGACACTCAGGTCCCTCCCTACCTGACTCAGGTCCCTCCCTACATGACTCAGGTCCCTCCCTACATGACTCAGGTCCCTCCCTACCTGACTCAGGTCCCTCCCTACATGACTCAGGTCCCTCCCTACCTGACTCAGGTCCCTCCCTACCTGACTCAGGTCCCTCCCTACCTGACTCAGGTCCCTCCCTACCTGACTCAGGTCCCTCCCTACCTGACTCAGGTCCCGACCTGACTCAGGTCCCTCCCTACCTGACTCAGGTCCCTCCCTACCTGACTCAGGTCCCTACCTGACTCAGGTCCCTCCCTACCTGACTCAGGTCCCTACATGACTCAGGTCCCTACATTAC